ATAAAAAAGATGCAATATTCTAGTTTGATTCTACCATCACCTTCATCCCCAGAAACTTTTCTCGATGCAGCCGATGCTCTACATGAACATATCCGTATTGAACACCAAAGCCTGAGTACAACAATCCTTACGTTGAATCCAACGATCAATCCCAAAATATTACACATGTCGCAAAATCAAACGTTCTGAAACCGGTTCAAAACACACCTGAATCGATGAAAAAACATCGGTAGTTGCATCGTCAAGTATAGTATAGGCTGCAGATTCATCATCTCCTTCAATCCTTGACTGCTCTCAACGACAATCGATGATAAGATCGATGACCAAGTAACTCATCCTTATTCGGACATGCTAGAGAGCACACCTCCCTTGCATATAATGGTCACAAATTGGCCGCTTGCCGATAAAATCGATACCTGCAACATCAATCTTATTGTGGCAATCACCGAAATCATCATCACAGGTAACAAGATCTCAACCAAAAAACATCTAATTTTACCAGTACATTTATTTGAACTAAACCTAAGCGAACTAGATGATAAGAATTGTGGTGACCAAGAGATGGGTCCCCTCTCCTTCTTGCCATCACCAGACTCACCAAAGAGAAAGAAGGAGAGAGGCCCTAGGCGACGATGACGGTGAGAAGCAAAGGGTGCAGTGCTTTCTCCTGCTGCCAAGTCTAAGTCTAATTATATATGCAATCAAAACATTTTCCCAAGAAGTCTGTGTATAAGCATACTAAGAGACCCTTACTTCTTAACAATGAAATGTATGTTAAAATCGTTGTGTGTTAGGGACTATATTAAAAAAAGGCGTGACCCAAAGGCAGAGAGCTCTCGCTCTGCAAGGGTCTGGGAAGGTGTCGATGGCAAGCCTTACCTCACTTTGTGCAATGCGACGAGACCATGACTCGAACCCGGGACCTTAGGTCCACAAAGTGAAGACTCTCACCGCTTGCACCAGCCCGCCCTTCTATTATACTACTGAAATGATTGAGATCCCTACTATAGAAGCAGATTTAAAACTCCTGGTGATAGTATATCACGGCCATTTCATAATGGGAAAGTTTTCACTCCCAGTTTAAGCCACAAACTAGCATTGAAAATTGACCTAGTTTTCACTCCTGGTTTGAGTGACAAACTAGTGGTGAAAAATGACCTCGAGTATGTATATAACCGGCCACAAATCCTAGCCCACCAGTCCCCACCTACCCACCTCTCTCTCTCTCTCTCTCTCCCATCCCCGACATAGCACTAGCCCCTCTCTCTCCCTCACCCGCCCTCTCTCACCCATGACGCCCCCCTCCGGTGGCTCTACTCCTAGTTTGACTAACAAACTAGTGGTAAAAAACGACCTCGAGTATGTATATAACCGACCACAAATCCTAGCCCACCAGTCCCCACCTTCCCACCTCTCTCTCTCTCTCTCTCTCTCTCTCTCTCTCCCTCCTCCCCCATCCCCGACATAGCACTAGCCCCTCTCTCTCCGTCACCCTCTCTCTCTCACCCATGACGCCCCCTCCGGTGGCTCCGACTTGAATCTGCACGAAGGCAAGGCGAGGCCATAGTATAGCATGATGCCCTAGCTCATATTTGCGTGACAGAGATGAATGATGGCATGGTGTCAGTAGGCGTTAGGGCAATGGGCACAGGTGCGGATGGATGCCGAAGGCACGACACGAGGGCCTAGATCTACGTGAGGGTGACAATCCCTGGCGACAGGGTATCCTTTTTTTATTTTGTTAATTAGGTTTCACCATCGGTTTCAAACCAGCGGTGATGAACTTGAGCATCATCACTGAAGCGCTAAATCGACAGTGATGAGGGTTTCCGAGCCGGGGATGATAAAGCTTCTGTTGTAGTGAGAGATGCCACTTTTTTCTTCAGTAATGGTTGGATGAAAAACTACAAGGCTCCACTAGAATGAGGTGAGATCCTCGAGGCTGAGTCCTACCCTATCTTGATCTCGATCTGCCAGATAATCCTTTCTTAGCGATACTCGAGATTCATATCTTCCACAAGGATCCACTAGCATGAGGCGAGATCCTTGGAAGCAATGAAAGCAATATACAGTAACTCAACCAAGATACTGTTGTCACTATTCTGCAAAAAATAAATTGTAGCTCAAAGTAAAATGGGAAAGTACTACTATTAAAAGGCTCAAAGCCTTACAAGAGGAAAAGGTAAAGGATATTAGAGCTTTACCAAAACGTGAGGATGATTTTGAAACATTGAGAGAAGCTCGACTTAACTCTAACTTCCCGCTACTCTAAACTAACTCTAAGACACAACCAAAGTGAAGTGGAGAGTTCCAAAGTGGTTTGTGTCACAACGATCTAGCTAGGTGTGTGGCAATGGTACCGCCTTTTATAGGTGACGGAGCACTAAAGTGGAGGTGGAGTTGGCTAGCCCGGGAATGCGCTAACCTTTCATTGGACGCCTCACATCCTAGAGGTGGTTATGAAACTGTTTGAAGCGGCTGAGTGTGTAGTGGTGTGGGGCCGACTGGCCAGGGGGTTTAACCCCAGCCCTCCGATCCACCGCCTTTGTGATGTGGATGCTCGAGATGGTTCAGCCAAGAATGTTCACGGTTAAGTTTGCTGATTTGGTTGAAATGTTTCCCCCTTCAACCCTAGGTTTCCTTTCATTCCAACTTGGATCCAACGCTTCTCATGTTCAAAATTGTTTGTTTGCATGCGGGCGGAGTTGGATCATGTCTGAATATATTTCATAGGGTGATATATCTAATCTAGGATAGGGTGATACATATATCTACTTATATAATTTGGAAAGTAGGGAATATAATTCTAATAGTTGTCCTCGGTTTGGTTGGAGAGTGTCTACTGTCTAGTAGTTGATCAAACAGAAACTTAATTAAGCTCCATCTGACCTGCTTTAGGTGAAGAAAATAAATTTGTTGGCCTAGCTGAGGCGTCAAGCGTGCATACATACTGTATTTATCGTCCATCATATATATATACACACACGCGTGTTTGGCGCGGGAATACGGCCATAACAGCTGTATATATGTTGGACTGTCACGGCTGCAAATGGGTTTATTTCATTCATGGAGCAGGTTGAGGTCGTTGGGCCCAAATAAAAACAAGAAAAAAATCCACTCGAGCGAGCCGGCCATGTATATATTACTGTATTGAGCCGGCCATGTATATATATTACTATATTAAGCTAGGAGTATGTTATCTTATATCTCTTATAAAACCAACCTCCACTATAAGTTCAATCTCAACATGCAAACCATCTACATCATCTCTCACTAATAGCCATGTCATCCCTATAACGTTCAACCTCTTAATGCGAGCTATCCACGTCATCTTCACTAAGCACAATTACTACTTTCAATGTATATAGAAATATAGAAGGCATTCATATATTGCTATTTACCATTGCATCTTATAACTTGATCAAATTCTATTAGTTTTTTATTCGAACCTTTTGTTGCCTTGCCCAATTTTAATAAGAATAGTTGCAAGAACATAACCCACATGCAATATTTTTATTTGTAAGAACATCCGCGGTGTAACAATTTTATTTCTAAGAAATTCCTGTAACAACGTGCGGGATATCCTTATATAGTATACACGATTGATTGTGTATGTCTGTTAATGTTAACCAGTATATGCATGATGCACGAAAGCTTATAAAATTTACAAAGACGAGAGTCGACTTCTTATTTAAGCCATTGGCTGGCTGCAACTTTTTACTGTTTCCCTTCTCAGTGATGCACTGTGCTAACAGCGGCTGCAGCTTAAATCCATCTCAAGGAACAGGTACAGCCAGCCGGGATTTAATTTGTGGATGACTAGTCATCTTTGCTGTTCATTGAGAAAATTAAATAGTGAGAGCCTCGTCGTCGTCGTCGTCGCCTAGCACCCATCGGAAATGGGCAATATATATGTCCTCGATCACCTCCTCTCTGGCTCCAAGCCTCCAAGGCAACATTGCCTTCCGCTTCCGGGATCCGAAGCCTCGCCGTCACGAAAACATCAAATTTCTAAGTGTTTTTACGATTATCGAGTGTATTCTCTCGAATACTCGGTGAATAAGTTCTTTACCGAGTGCTGCACTAAAAATATTCGGCAAAAAAATCATTCGGCAAAGAGAGGGTTTGCTAAGTATTTTATTTTTTTGCATTTGCCAAAGAAATAAAATCTTTTTTCTGAGAAAGAAGGAGAAGAAAAATATGAAAAAAAACTTTGTCGAGTGCCTAGATCTACGACGCTCGGCAAAGACCTTAGGTAGCGTTTGATTAGGAGTCGAGGTAGGATGGGATGGTCCCATCTCTATTTTCTAGGGCGGGATGGAGACAGAACCACTCTATTTTTTGTTTTTGTTTGGTTGAGAAAGGACATGAGGATCTATTTTGTGTTTGATTGAAAGGATAAATAGAAATGGGATGGATGAGAAATTTGACGCCGTTACCTACGGTTGTAGTGGGACCCACCAGGACCCATGTGTAAATCTTTTTTCCTTTTACTATATATATGTCAATCTTTTTTCTCCTTTTATATTATACATAATAAATAAATAAAATCCTCAAGCCGCGTGACGGAATCACCACCGTGCCGGGTGCCGCTGGCGTCCCCAACGCCGCTCGAGTCCCTTCCCCAACCTGCCGGTGCTCGGAGCTCGCTGCTCGTCGTTCGGCTGCGCCGCGCTACCTGGATCTCGGCACAGCAGCAGCCCGGAGCTCGGCCGCAGCGCCCCTCCCGAGCACCCCGCCCTTCTTCTTTCCCAGCGCCCCTCCCCTCCCGGCCCCAGCGCCCCTCCTCTCCCTGCCGCCACCGCCGGCGCCCCTCCCCTCCCCCTCCCCCTTCTTCCCCGGCGGGCGGCCCTCCCCTCCCTTCTTCCCCCGCCGGCGCCCCTCCCCTCCCCTTCTTCTTCACCCGGCCGGATCCGGCCCTCCCTCTCCCAGATCCGGCCCTCCCTCTCCCAGATCCACGCGTGGGGCGTTTGTGTGAGGGATAGACATCTGACCTGGTCATGGAGGCGGCAGCCCAGACCATCTTGAGCAACGCTGGGCTGCTCCTGAGTGAGGAGTACCGGCTGCTTAGCGGCGTCGGCGGCGATGTCGCTGAGCTGCGGGACGACATGGCCACCATGAACGCCCTCCTCCGCATGCAGTCCGAAGCCGAGGATGGCGCCGTGGACCACTTCGTCCGGGAGTGGATGAAGCAGCTGCGCGAGCTCGCCTACGACGCGGAGGACTGCGTCGACCGCTACGTGCTCCGCATCAAGTCCAGGCCCAGCGACGGCGTGCGCGCCAGGTTGGAACGCCTGCTCGGGACGCTCTTGCCGCGCCGTCGCCTTGCCTGTGAGATCGGCGCCCTCCGCACCCGCGCCATCACCATCAGCGAGCGCCACGCCCGGTACGGTGTTAACCGTGACGCGCTGCGCCGCTCCACTTCCTTTGCCCCTCCGGTGCTGGCGGTATCCGCGTCTGTGCAGGCGCTCCGTCCTGCCAAGGACCCCGGGAACCAACAAGTCGTTGCCATCGGGGACCAGGCCAACAGCCTCGCTGAGCGGGTGAAGAAGGCGTCTGCTGAGCAAGACCGGTATCTGAAGGTGTTCTCCATCGTGGGGTTCGGCGGCGTCGGCAAGACGACGCTGGCCATGGAGGTGTGCCGGCGGCTGGAGGCGGAGTTCCAGCGCCAGGCGATGGTGTCCGTGTCTCAGGCGTTCGAGGCCGACAGGGATCTCAAGGCGCTGCTCAAGCGCCTGCTTCAGCAGGTGGTCAAGGACAAAACGGACAATGAGAGAGGCATCAAGGAAGAGGGGAACATTGGTGGAATTGACAACTTGAACGACACTGACCTGGCCACAAAACTCAACGACTGCCTCAAAGACAAAAGGTATGCACCGTACTTTTGTTTCTCGAATAAGCAAAAGGTTTACGCATTATAAAGAGTTTAACCATACAAGATGCCTCAGAGCCGCCATATTAATCCTCACAAGATACGTTAGAAAAATTACAAATCCTACAAATTATTATAATAGTCAGAAATATTCTGACCATTAATTTGATAAATCATCATAGATAATAGCATTGAATTTATTTTGTTTTCTAAAAAATGACCACTTCTTTCATTATGAAAAACATAAATAACCCCCAAAATCTTGGCTTAACCACCTCACCTTTGCCATTATGAACAATAATTCAAAACAACCTTATTTTCTAAAAAATTACTTACCCCTACCAATATAAAAGATAATATAAAGTAACACCTTTACTTTGCATCTAAGGTATCTGCCGTTACAAAAGCATAAACTAAAATATCCCTAAAATTTATGTCTCAATTACCAATATAAGCTATTATCGAAAAAACTAGTTAACCATAAAATGCACTATATATATATGAGAGAGAGAGTAAATATAGTCAATTTTGATTACTTGTACGTACTAATGTATCCACGAAACTTTTACTTATGTAAGACTCTAGGCCGTGTGGTAGTACCTGTTCATGGGCTATTAGATTTTAATTTGGACTTGTGTGGGAGTAACTTCCTTCTTCATATACAACGACTAACCATGGTACATATAATTAAACAGGTACCTAATTGTGATTGATGATATATGGACCATTCGAGCATGGGAAGCAATCCAATCTGTGTTGCCAGAGAACAATTGCCACAGCAGAGTCATTGTTACCACTCGAATAGACACTGTAGCCAAAGCATGCAGTCCTGCTAGTGTCAATGCAGATTATATCCATCAGATGCAACCCCTAAAGTTGGAGGATTCAAAGAAGTTGTTCATCAGCAGAGCATTTGGCTCTGAGGATGCCGAGTTCCCCCAGGAGCTCGAAGATGTGATGGACAATATTTTGAAAAAATGTTGTGGGCTGCCATTGGCCATTGTTAGCATCGCCAACATTCTGGCAGGCTATAAGTCATCGGGAAGCAAAGAAAAGTGGGAAACAATTTGCAGATCCATTGGTTCACAGATGGAGAGCAACCCTACCCTTGAGGGTATGAGGCATATAGTCACCCTCAGCTACAATCACTTGCCTTATGAGCTCAAGAGTTGCATGTTGTACCTTAGCATTTTTCCTGAGGATTATGAGATCAACAAGGACCGGCTCCTAGGCAGATGGATCGCCGAAGGATTGGTCCCGGAGAAGCGGGGCTTGACCCTAATGGAGGTTGCAGAATCCTACTTGGACGAACTGGTGAGCAGGAACATGGTTGAACCACGCTTTGGCTTTGATGGGAAGGTGGAGTCATGTCGAGTGCATGACATGCTCCTTGAGGTCATGGTGTCCAAGTCCCTCGAGTGTAAGTTTGTCAGCCTGCTAGGAGGGCAGTATGCAGGGATGTCATATGACAGGATTCGGCGCCTCTCGATCCATGGGGATGACAGGAAGGCCCTCGGTACAAAGCAGCCCAAGAAGAAGAAGGTGGGGCATGGAATTGAGGGGATGGATGTGGAGCATATTCGATCATTGAGCTTGTTTCAGCTAATAGGGCACAAGCTGCTGGATCACCTACATAGGTTAACCTTGCTGAGGGTACTTGACTTGGAAGATTGCGAGGGCCTAACAAATGAGCATATGAGATATATCTGCAGGTTGTACCTTCTCAAGTTCTTGAGCTTGAAGGGTACAGGTATCAGCGAGGTGCCACCTCAGATTGCGAAGCTAGAGCACTTGCAGACACTTGATACACGTGGGACGTTCCTGCCCAACCTACCAGAAGCGGTGACCAATCTGGAAAAACTTGAGCGCATAGAGTTCAGACACAAGACTGAATGGTATATTATGTGGAGTCTGCCACGGGGTCTCGAGAAGATGAAGGCGCTACGTGAGGTGAATGTAGCAGTTCTAAAAAATGAAGTCCAGATTGCCCGAGAGCTAGGCAAATTACAACAACTTCAAAGTTTAAGCATGTACATCGACTGCCGTGATGATAATAGCGAGGTTTTCCAAGAGATTGCTGACTCTTTGAGTAAGCTCTACTCCCTCCGAAGACTTGACATATCAAATTTAGAGATTCATAATGGAAAGATGTCATTCCTAGATAAACTCCACACACCGCCACGGCTCCTTCGGTCCCTGAGGATCGAAGGTGTTCTCCAAAGGTTGCCCCCTTGGGTTGAATTACTGACATACCTTGTCGAGTTTCAGATCATGCGTGCAAGGCTTGTTGGAGACCTACTTTTTAGTGTCCTGTATAAGTTGCCCAACCTGAAGAGCATTTGGATGGATCGGAGGTGCTACAACTCCGATGAGATAGTTGCACGCAGTACCTACACCTTCCCTGTGCTCAGCAGCCTGAGGGTGACCTGTGATGAGACCTCACTGCCGAAAGTTTTCCTGTTTGAGGAAGGATCCATGACAAAGCTCGAGACATTAAAAGTGAATTTCACTGAGGTGGAGAGGAGCATTGTCGGGTTTGAGCACTTGCCAAATCTCAAAGAGGTAGAGCTCACGGGTAATAAGAACAACTCATCACTAAACCGAGCACTGGATCAGCTGAGGGATGAGAACAGGAGGCGCTCCAAGTCCAGTCAGTTCCAAGTTGTAGTGAAATACATGTGATCGATTGCATGTATCTTTGTTTTATTTCTGTTTGAGTCGGCCTTCTGTTGTTTTGGCCATGCGAGCAGGAGCTCGGGCGCATGTCGGAGCACGTGGCATCGTGCGATATGGATAGTCGTGCGGGAGATGGCACACGAAGAGCCCGTGGCTCGCGTTTAGGAGGATACTGTACAATCCTTGTTTAATCTTCTCCCTATAGATTATGCCCTTGTGTTGTAACGGTAACAAAAAAAAATTACAGTGACAATTTATGTTTGAATGTATGTTGTACAACCACAAAAAAAAAATGATGCTTTGAGCGTGATGTTCACAGCATTCCGTTCACGAGTCTTCATGATGCCTGAACAATTAGCACATAATTCAAGTTTTGATGTGACATTAAAACAACCAATTTCATACCATAATAACCATGTTTGTTATGACTTTCTATTCTATCACGTCTTGTCTATGATACACTTAAGATAGTCTTGTAGTACCGTAGAAATTAAAAATCTCCTGAAATTTCTATCATAAGTCAATAGTTGGATTAAAAAGTTCCTTCACAACCTTTAGCCATTCTGTGCACAAATCATGTATAGAGGGGTGATTTATCCGGTTGATGCTATCATAAAGAATCATCAATCCCATGCCGGAAAGCTTTGTGAACAACAATGGTGTCTACAACACAATGGTATGGTTGACCTTGAGTTCAAAATCTATGGTTGGTGCAGCATGTTCATACCCGTCCCACGTGTCAGCTGAGGGGTATTCTAGCTTCAACTGGTGAACCATGTTAAAAGTAGGAAATGCCGCACCATTATGCTGTTATCCTCCAGTTCTAACCATCAAAATAGGCAAATATTGATGAGAGCAATTGCCTTTATTAAGCATCTCTGGGAATTCAGGTTATTATGGTAACCATTCAACCGTGCAACCAGGGACCCCATAGAGAAAAACAAGAAGTAGAAAAACACGCATATGATGAACCCTGCAATTGCCTAATCCTGATGTATATAACAGGAACATATACACGGTGGATTGATTTTTTTTTTTGCGAGTATGGTGGATTGATTTTTGTTTTCCTTTGTTATAAGAGTTCATGTACTCCTGGAGCTAAGAGCTTACTAATCAATCCAAAGTGGTATTTAAGATCCAAAGCATCATTCATTGAACATAATTTTATTTGTTGATAGTGAGCTTCGAACTCTAATATTTTGTAGGAACCCTTTGAGAAAAATCCCTTCTCAATTTTTGCCAAGGAAAAAATTGACAATTCCAAATTAAGCTACACCATTGAAGTCATTGTCTTTGCATTTGTCCTTCTTCCTAGTCAAATGTACCCTCATGTATTGTTGGCATAGACAAATTATATTCATGAGGAACAATGCATGCCACATTCAAGTAGCTAAACATTGACAAAAGAAAACATGAGAATAGTGTGCATAATAACATTTGTGTTTGGTCGCCATTGTCACCTCAGCATATAACGGGTACTACAATGGCTGAACCCTGTTTTTTTTAACGTGTGACCCCTACTGGAATATATTAAAAGAAAAGTAAAAATTGAGTACATGGTTCAAGAAACAAAGAAGGTTAAAAAAAATAAAAAAATGACACATATGCATGTAGCCAAAAGTTGATAAGAGGGTGAAAGTTTTCTTTTGTTCACACGTGTAAAACCCCAAAATTTGCCTCTTTTGGAAAAAGGTTTAAAATGATTTATTTTGTGAATTTTTGTGCACATGAAATATAGAAAAATAAAAATTTTTCATTAAAATTAAAATTCATCATAAGGTAGCAACATGTCTGAGCATACATACCATTGCATCTGATTTATTTGGTTGAGTGGTTTTGATTGAAAATTCAAAATGGTTTAAATTTCTTTTGCAAATGAAATTTAAAATGGCTTAGAAATAAAAGAAAAGAAAAATTGAAAATAAAAGAGTTTAAAAAGTTGTAAAATTTGTTTTTTTGAAAACCTAACATGGTTCTCCTATTTTGAATTGAAAAATAAATTGGAAATAATATTTGAGTTTGCATAGGTTCATATTTGAATTGGGATTTGAAATAAAAAAAGAAATAGAAAAGGAAAAGAATAAAACCCCCTCTCTCCCCCGGCTTCAGCCCGTGCGCCCGCGGCAGCCCAGCTGCACAGGCCCAGTCTCCCTTCGCTCCCTCTCATTCGCGCCCGAAGGCCCAAGCTGTGACCGCAGCCCACCCGCGCGCTCTCTCTTCTCTTTGGCAAGCGGCCCAGCGTCACCGCGCCTCCTCCCTCCCTCTCAGCTTTCTCTCCCGCTCGGCCCAACTGGCCGTTTTCCCGAAGGCCCGCGCCTCCGCTCGCAGGCCGGCCCAGCAGCAAGCCGCGCAAGCGCGCGTTCCTCCGTCTCTCTCTGGCTGACAGCCCGACCCCGCCTCTTCTCTCGCCGCTAGGTGGGACCTACCTGTCAGTTTCATCCCTCAGCTCGAGCTCGTAACTGGCACGGAGTTCTTCGACCGCGTCCGTGTCCGCCCCGTCCACGCTCGCTCGATGGCCTACGTCGTAAGCCACCTTGCCTCATAAATATCGAGCTCCACGCCCGTGTCGTTCTCCACCGTGCCCTAAAGCAACGCCGCAGCGTCGTTTGTGCCCTAGCGCCGCCTGTCCGATTCCGCCGAGAAGAGCCGAGGCCGATTAGACGCTCCTCCGTCACGGTAAGCCTGTTCCCGAGATTCACGTTGAAGTTGCGAGCACGCCAATTCCCTTTTCTCCCTCTCTCTCGCTCTGTCTTGGTCTCCCCGCGCCGCAGCTGCTCCGCCGCCGCCATAGTCCGCTGCCCGAAGTCTCTGCTCAGCAATAGCCGCTGCAAGTCGCATAATCGAGTTCGCCATGTTCGTATCCATCTCCCTGTGCCAAATCAGAGTCGGATTAGAGCCCCTAGGCGCTTTGTCCAATAGCTCCGGCGAGCAATCAATCGATGCCGGCGACAAATCCCCCACCGAGCTCCCTGTTTCGGCGTCGGCACCTTTTCCCCTCCCCATCTTTTAATCTGAGCCGATCAGTGAAGATCTAACGGCCTCAATTAGTGATACCCCTTCGCGTGGCTTAATTGTATAAGAGCCCCTCTAGTTTTCTGTTTTCAAACCCGCGGTCCAAAGCGTAATCACATATTATGTTTTCTTCTTTGAAAAGCGTAGTTTCTTCGGTCTAGATCCAAAATACGTTTCCACTTATTTACAGTTTTGTCATTAATCTTGTTTTAGCCATAAAATCTCCGTTTTAACTCCGATTTGATCCGTTCAACTTGCGTTAGGTTCGTAATTTCATAATCTACATGTTCATACTACTGTTAAATATGTTTTCAACTTTTAAAATTCATGAGTAGATTTAATCTATTATTTTACTAAAGAAAATCTTATTTAATTCATATCTTCTACGTTTTAGCTCTGATTTGACCTGTTCAAGTTGTGCTACATTCATTACAACGAGATCTACGCGTTAGTAACAATGTTTATCATGTCACTATTTCTAGAATTTTATGGTTTAAACTCTAATTTGAATAATAATTATGTAACTGGATTTTATAAATAAAATATGATTTGTTTTACTTTAGTTTTATAATTCAAATCTAAATTTGACTTGATTCAATTTATATTATTTATAAAATATCTTATATATATGAATTTATATAGTTAAAATAAATGAAGCCTATAGTTTTCTTTTTCACGTATAAAGCAAATCTTTCGATAGTTGTATCTTTTCAACCACAGCTCCGATTAGAGTGCTTCTTGCGACTGTGTGTTAGTAGCGATGCGCAGAATCGTGTTTTAAACTCTTTTACTTATTTTTCTATGATTGGTGTACTATTCTGATTTAGTTCTATTGTTTCCTTCGTGTATGATTGTATGGATGCTTGTGTGGTGCTTTATGGTTACGTCCAGTCGATGAGATATACGTAGTGATCAGGAAGAAGAAGAAGAAGAAGAACGTTGAAGATTAAAGCTTACCGAAGGCTCGGTGTTTTAAGGCAAGTATAGCATGGGATCTTCCTTGTTGTCCTATATACCTTTAATCATTTAATTCATACTGCATGTGTCTACCTTGACTGCCACTAAGGATTTCCTAGTACTTTGTGAAAGGATCAAGATGCCCAAGGGGGGGTGACTTGGGCTAATTCTAAAATTCTTTGCAATAATTAAACCCTACGGTTAGCCCAATTAACCACTTGTGCCTAGAAAGTGTTTTTATTGATCTACCGCACAAAAGTTTAGCAACCAATGTTTCAATCCTACTCTAGCATGGTAATTCTATGAATATAAATGATAAGAATTGAATTGCTCAAAGTAAATGCTCAAAGTAAAGAGAGAAGGAGGAACGCGACGATGTTTTGCAGAGGTATCGGAGAGTCGCCACTCCCCACTAGTCCTCGTTGCAGCACTCGCGTAAGGGTGTCGCTCCCCCTTGATCCGCGCAAGGATCAAGTGCTCTCTACGGGTTGATTCTTCGACACTCCGTCGCGGTGAATCACTCACAACCGCTCACAACTTGAGTTGGGTCATCCACAAGCTCTCTGGATGATCACCAAGCTCACAATCACCACCAAGCCGTCTAGGTGATGGCGATCACCAAGAGTAACAAGCACGAACTCTCATTTGACCACGATAAGCCTAATGAGAAGGGTGGATGCACACTTTGCTACTCTTGCTTTCACTAATGAGGGCTCTCTTTGGGATTCTCAAATCTCAATCACCTCTCTAGGACCTTGCTCTTCTTGGCACTTTAAACGGTGTTTCTCAGCTGTTGGAATTAGCAAAAGTACCCCCTCACACGAATGGAGGTAGTATTTATAAACCCGAGTTCAAAATGAACCGTTATGTGTCTCTGTGGGGTGACCGGACGCTCTGATCAGTTCTCCCTGAACTCCAGTGATTAAGTAGTGACCAGACGCTGGACAGCGTCCGGTCACAATTTTCCCTCTCTGGAACCTTATTGGAGGCGACCGGACGCTAGCACCCAGCATCCGATCGCTCACCTCTCAGCGTCC